GTAATCCCATCAACAGCCAAGACCCAGAGACTACAAAACCCAGCTCTCAGAAGCGACATCTTATTATCTCATTCTTACTTTGAACAACCTGGCAGGCTACCGAGTGTAATGTGCCCACATGGCACACTCTGGCAAACTCCCCGTGGTGTACCCAATATGCCAAATACCAGTAACAATGATGGGTCTCATTCTCCTAACCCTGAAAGAGCCTTGAATATGGCACTTTAAAATCTCAGGGCTAGGAGAAAGGAGACATTACTGGTGCCTGCTTGAGGCAATCGACAAACAACAGGATGATCGTGATGGTGAATATATATACAGTATGAGCGATAGCACAGCGGTAGGGCGTTTGCCTTGTGCACAGTCGGGTTCTATTCCTCTGCCCCTCTCAGAGAGCCCAACATGCAACCGAGAGTATCTCGCCCGCACGGCAAAGCCTGGCAAGCTACCCATGATATATTCAATATGCCAAACACCATAACAACAAGTCTCACAATGGAGATGTTACTGGACCCACTCGAGCAAATCTACGAACAATGGGAGGACAGTGACAGTGACAGGATATAGGGTAGGGCGTTTGCCTTGCATTCGGCCAACAGGGCCAACCCGGGTTCAATTCCTCTGCCCCTCTCGGAGAGCCCAGCAAGCTACTGAGAGTATCTTGCCCGCACGGCAGAGCCTGGCAAGCTACCCGTGATGTATTCGATATGCCAAACACAGTAACAATCATCACAGTGGAGACGTTACTGGACCCACTCAAGCAAATTGATGAACAATGGGAGGACAGTGCTACATTCATATATATATATATATATTTCATAAAAATAATGGTATGGCCAACTAGAAAATAATGACTCAAAGTGCACCCCCCTTCACTGTTTCAACTTAACCCTGAGACTGTAACAGGAGAGGAATGGGGCGGGAGAAATACCGCAGGAGGTCAGAACCTGCCTGGGCGGCGTATGGCCAGGCGCATTCAAACCCCTGCACATCACATGTCCCCCACAGCTCCACCAGGGGTCACTCAGGAGCACAGAGCCAGGAATAGCCCCTGAGCACCACCGAGTGTGGCCCACAGCCAACACCACCCAAAAGGGGGTGGTAAGAGTATAAGAGTGACCCTGGGTGTTCTACACGCTGCAACTCACTGCGCCAAGCAGACAGCCCACGCCTTCTCACTGGTTACCATGACAAACCTTGGTAGATGCTCAGTGGGGCTCAACTTAAGTGACTTAAAATGAAGAGCACAATCAGGGGGTGGGATGGAGCAGGGGTTGGACCACCCTTGGGGTGCTCTGGGGTTTCTCTTGGTTTACTCAGGAATTACTCCCAACAGTGCTTGGGGGACTACGCAGTGCCAGGAATGGAACCAGAGTCACTTGCGTGTAAAACAACAACTTAGCCCCTAGACTAAGGCTCCGGCCCCAGAGCAGTTTTATTACTTTTTAAATAGGTTTTTTTTTTCATTGAATCTTTGTGAAATAGACCCTTACAAAGCTGTTCATAATTAGGTTTCAGGCATACAGTGTTCCAACACCCGTTCCTCCAACTAGAAAATAACTGTGGCCAGGCGCATTCAAATATACGCATTTAGTGTACATTTCCCAGCACCAGTGTCCCCAGGTTCCCTCTCATCACCCACCCACCCCCACTCAGCCTGCCTCTATGGGAGGCACTTTTCTTCTCTATTTCTCTCTCTCTCTCATCCTTCAGAGCAATTTTAAAACACTTTTCTGCATTTAAAACCGTTTTAAAACATGTTTCCTGCACATACAAACACATACCCCCTGGAAGGATCACAGAAAACCAAGTTTGGGGGCTGGAGCAATAGTATAGAGGGTAAGGCACTGGCCTTGCACTTCATCCCCGGCATCCCACAGGGTCCCCCGAGCACCATCAGGAGTAATTCCTGAGTGCAGAGCCAAGAATAAGCCCTGAGCAATGCCAGGTGTGACCCCAAAACAAAAAGCCAAGTCTGAGCTTTGTTCCCTACACATGTAAAGTGGAGTATTTCCTCAGATGGGTTGAACAGTCTACTGCACTCTTCCTTGGAGATGCGCCCTTGCCAGCTCCTGATTGAACGGGGTTTTCTCTTGGTGCCCCAGTTCCCACCTGGCACTGAACAGCTGGTAATAGCCACCACTGTCCTATGATGGCTGACAATACTTCCTCCTAGGGTACCTTAGAATGACACTTCTTATGATGGTACCACCTACAACAATACTTCCTATGATGATACTCCTCAGGATGATACTTCCTATGATGGTACTACCTACAACAATACTCTGTGATGGTACTCCTCAGGATGATACTTCCTATGACGATGTTACTTACAATGATACTTCCACTGATGGTTCTCCTTACAATGGCACTTCCGGTGATGGCTCTGGCACCCACCAAGGTCCCTGGCCAGCTCACCATAACCATCAATCAACAGTTATTTGGAATCTTTCAAATCACCAAAACAGTTGTCACATGAATTTAGAAACTCTGAAGAGATGACAGAAAGGGGAACACAGGAGTCTATTTACAAAGCACAGCAGACTGACATGACATCAGGAGTTTCGAACGAGTAGGAGGGAAATGATCAGGGACAGAGAAATAAGATTGGCTTGGGAGGGAGTGGTAGGACAGTGGGTAGGGAGCTTGCCTTCATCCCCAGCATCCCACGGGTCCCTGAGTCCTGTGGGGAGTCGTTCCTGAGTGCAGAGAGCAGGAGTAAGGTCTGCTGTGGCAAAAGAAAGATTAGCTAGGGGCTGGAGCAATAGTACAGCGGGTAGGGCACACAGCAAAAAGGGCATTTGCTTTGCACAACTACATTCCATTCCCAGCATCCCATATGGTCCCCTGAGCACCACCAGGAGTAATTCCTGAGTGCAGAGCCAGCAGTAACCCCTGTGCATCACCAGGTGTGACCCAAAAAGAAAAAAAAAAGAAGAAAAGAAAGATTAGCGATTGTTTTTGCATTACTTTTGCTTATGGCTGAAACATTCCCAGCTAAAAAGTGAAAACCAAATTCGGTTTTCCACAGAAAGTCAGTTTTAAGAAAGGAGCAGGGGGGGGAGGGATATTATCCTGGTGGTGAAAAATGGGCACTGGTGGAGGGATGGGTATTTGATCGTGGTATGACCGAGATCCAAGCACAAAAATTTGTAAATCTACAACTGTACCTCATGGTGTTTCACTAATAAAAAAGAAAAAATATATTAAAAAAAAAAAAAAGAAAGGAGCAATGTAGGCAGCCTAGCAAAACGGCCACAAACCCTCTCCCTCTCCACCCGGAGCAGAGCAAGGGTGCCGGAGCCTTCACCTCGGCCCCTGAACTAAGCCGCTTAATTACAGGGAGTCCGCGGAGGTTTTTGTTAAAGTGAAAAGGGGGGAAATAATAATCAGGCACTTCTTGAAATTCAACACAGGTTAGAAAACCCGAGACACAAGCTCAATTCTACTCAGTTAAGTACGAGCTCTGTACAGATTTCTGCTGTGCAAAGCAGACGCGACACAAGTGAAACTGCTGTTTGGCACCTGCACTGAGGCTAACGCCTAACCCGGTAGAAGCTGATCCTAGCAACCCCGAGCAAGGAAAACCAGCGGGCTTTCCGCGGCTTTCAGCGTCTGAACTTTTGACCTCCTCCCCAAATGTCGCGAAGGAATTCCTTCACCCTGGCACTGGAAAGAAAAGCCCTTTTCTTCTTGCACTCATTCCGTAAAACGCAGATCTTGACGACGTAATCTGTGCCCAAAGTTAAAAAAAACAAAAAAGTAAACCACTAAAATGGATCGTCGAAACGCACAAAAAGGATTTTTGCAAAGAAAATAAAGCAATGCGAACCCACGGGCCCAGCTGCCGTGGGAGCGTGGCCACTGTCTGTCTGTCCTTCCCCGCCACCGTTTGGCTCTTGCACGTTTGGCTTTTGCCTTCCTACTGCAAAGCCGCCAAGTCCCCCCAGAAGAGCGCACACAGGAGAGGGACGATAAACACCAAATCCGTGGGCTGGGAACTAACCTGCGCGTAAATTTCCACCGTCGCCCGCAGTGACCCGACGCGTCCGTAGAGGCAGAAGTGGTGAGGGGCACGCGGGGATGCGGGGAGGGGAGCAGGGTGAGTGGAAATGCGCGGGGGTGAGGGAAAGCGCGCGGGGGTGCAAGGAGGCGCGCGGGGTGCAGGGAGGGGCGCGTGGGGTGTGGGGAAACGCGGGGGGGGTGTGCGGGGAGGCCCACGGGGTGCGGGGAGGCGCGATGGGGCGCGAGGAGGTGCGCGGGGTCGCGAGGAGACGCGCGGGGGTGCGAGGTGAGTGGAAACGCGCGGGGTGCGGGGAGGCGCGCGGGGTTGCGGGGAAGCGCGCGGGGGTGTGGGAGGCGCGCGGGGTGCGGGGAAGCGCGCTGGGTACGGGAGGGGCGCGGGGATGCGGAGAGGCTCGAGGGGGGAAGAGCGTGGGGTGGGGGGGAGGCGCGCGGGGGTGCGGGGAGGCGCGCGGGGTTGCAGGAAGCGCGCGGGGGGGTGCGGGGGGAAGGGCGTGGGGTCGTGGGGAGGCGCGCGAGGTGCGGGAGACGTGCGGGGGTGCGGGGAGGCGCGCACAGGGAAGGGCGTGGGGTCCGGGGGAGGAGCGCGGGGGGGAGGACGTGGGGGGCGCGCACCTGAGCCGGCCGCGCACAAGGCGCTCCCTCTGCGCGCCCCTCTTGTCGGCACCCACGCCCGAGTCTCCGGAGCGCGGAAAAGCGCCTGCACCGCGTCCCGCGAGCCTCGGGCGCCGCCGCCGCGCGCGCCCCCTACCTGGCGGCCACGTCCAGGCGCCGCCCTGCCGGGGCACCCCGCCAGGGAGGCTCCCGCGGGCCGCGGGCAGCGGGGGAGGCGGGTGGGCAAAGGGGAGAAGCCCCGGGGGTGGGTGCCAGCCAGGTCCCCGAGCTCGACGCCTCCCGCGGCCGGGCTGCGCGGGTTAGGAGCGGGGCGGCCGTGTCCACTGTCCACCTCGGGGCGCCCGCGGCGGCGCTGGACTCACCAAGGCAGCGGATGTGGAAGCCCGAGGGCGGCCGCAGCGCCCGGCGCGTCCAGCCCTCGCGCAGCGCCTCCAGATGCTCTTCCTTGCCCTGGATCAGCAGGACCTGCTCGTCGATCCAGCCCAGGAAGAAGGTCTCGGCCACCGCCGCCGTGACCCTCTTGTTCCAGAAGTGCTGCATGTTCTCGGCCTTGAAGTCGGCGAAGATCTCGTAGCCGATGTGGTGCCGGGACAGCTGCCGGGGCTGCGCGGGGGGCGCGGGCTGCGCGGACCCCGACGCGTCCCCCGCCGGGCGCTCGGCCGGGCCCAGGACGATGGCCAGAGAGTGGGGCGCGATCTGCAGAAACTTCTCCATCGTTCCGGGCGCGCCGAGACCCCCCCGCGCTCACCGCTGGCGCCCGCTGCTGCCGGGAGCTGCCGCCGGGATGTCGCTGCACGAGAGGGGAGCGTTAGGGTCCCCCCAGCCAGGCCTGCGTGGACCGCGCCCCCCACCCCCGTACTTCTTACACCGCGGTCGTGCCCTTCCCCGGTCCCCCTGGGGGTGCGATGGGCGGACACCCGGGGGCGAGAGATGCGGAGCTCCCCGCGCCCCGACTTCGCGCGCGTTACCTGCAGCTCGGGGCCCCCCTCCGGGCACCGCTCATTTTCCGGCGTTTGCTCCCGCGCCTCCCTCGGCGCCGGCGGCCCCGGGTAGGGGCGGAGACGCGGCGGGAGGCGGGCGGTTCGCGCCGCGGCCGCGGCCGGGGAAGCCCCTGGGCTGCGCTGGGCCGCGCGGGGACCCCGGGAAGTCACACGTGGCAGGCGGCCGAGGGGGGCGAGCGTTGGGGGTGGCGCCAGGGGGCCCCCAGGGAGCCCCGCGGGCCGGAGGGACGCGTGGCGACACTTGGCGGCTCCGTCCGCGCGCGCTGCGCGTGTCGCTCCTCCCCACGCTCCACCCAGGCCCACCTCCTCCTGGAACAAGTGGATCCGCCGCCGAGGGCTGGCGCTGGCCTTGCAAGTGGCGTTGGAATCCCGACTTAGTCAAGCACGGGAAATGGTCGCTCCCTGCTCCCCTGCTCCCTGACGCCTGCTTCCTCCGGGGAGTCCCAGTCCCCTCCGTGTCGTACCCACCCGGACACAGGCCACAATGATACTGGGTTTAACTTATTTTTGTTTTCATTACATCATCCAGTGGGCTGGAGCGATAGCACAGTGGGTAGGGCATTTGCCTTGCACGCAGCTGACCCGGCCAACCCGAGTTCGATTCCTCCGCCCCTCTTGGAGAGCCCGGCAAGCTACCTAGAGTATCTTGCCCGCACAGCAAAGCCTGGCAAGCTACCCGTGAGGTATTCCATATGCCAAACACAGTAACAACAAAGTCTCACAATGGAGACGTTACTGGGCCCACTCTAGCAATCAATGAACAACGGGAGGAGAGTGCTACATCATTCAGTCTGTGTCTGCTCTTGGTGGCTTTGCAGAGGATGGAGACAAGGTTTCATGGATTCACAGAACACAGCCAAGTTTGATCCCTACACACGGGCTCATCTGCGGGTTATCTGCCACTTAGGTGGCCATTTCTCTGGGTCTCGAGGTGGAGTTGGCGGGTTGGTGCAATTCTCCTCTCCTCTTGCTTTGGTTGTGCTGTCATTGTCATAGGGGCTCCAGACACACATTATTTGGGATGGCGCTTACACATCTGGCTCACCTTGGCCATGAATGCTCCTGGCATGGCGAAAGTCACTGCCGGCTTGGCTGAGGCACTTATTGGTCCACCTGTGGCCGGGTTTCCTCCCCGCCCCTTCCCATAGTTCTGATTTCTTATCCAGGGTGCAGGTGCTGCCGCCGCCTTGGACAGTGGCAAGCCTTGAGCTGGGAGGGATATTGTCCAGACCAGACCTGACCATGTCTGCTGGGGGCATCTGCTGCTTGTCTCAGAGGGTGACTACAGGTCCGGGTTTTAATCCTGCTGAAGCAAGTTTCCCCGCCCACTTCCCTTCAGCAAACTGGGAATCAAGTCCCGCTCAGTGGAGTCGATGGACTAGGGAGAGACTCAAGATGGGGCCTCGGAGCACTTGACTTGCCTCTGTGAGACGCTGGGCTCCACCCCTGGCTCTGCCCAATTACACCAAGTCTCAAGCAAGGATGTGGATGCAAAGTGACCCCAATGGTAAAGCTGGAGGCGTGAGAGCGGGTGGCACCACCGGCATAGACCCCTCAGAGGGTCAAGGCCTGGGTTTGGCAGGACAGAGATGGCTGGGCCTGGTGCAAGGTGGAGGCCTGGGGACCCTGGAATGCACCAGGTCCACCAGGTCTCAGGGTACTCTCAGGCCTCCTCTGTCCCACCTGGCTGTTAGCGCCTGCTGTTCCAGTTCCATCGAGTTGCCGCCAACTTCCCTTCTTAGGAAGTTACACACTTGGAGAAAAGTCACAAAACTTTTGTGAGAACCCAGTTCTCACAGGGGCAGAGAGCACTCACCTGTCTAGCCAGACACACCCCAGTTGATAATATTGCACTATACTTGCTTTATTCTACACACACACACACACACACACACACACACACACATACACACGGGTTTCCCCCCCCCCCCCCCCACTATCCGGAAGTAGCCTGTTCCTTTCAAAGCTTTTGTAATCCCAATGGTATAAAGCAACAGCATTTGGGCTATACTATTAAGTTATAAGGATTTGGGGCTTTAGGGGCTACACCTGGTGGTGCTCAAAGGCTATCCCTGGCTCTGTGACCCCTAGCAGTGCTCAGGGTGGGCTCCATGTGGTGCCAGGGATTAAACCAGGGTTTGGGGCCGGAGCAATAGTACAGCATGGAGGGTACTTGCCTTGCACACAGCCGACCCGGGTTCAATCCCCGGCATTCCCTATGATGCCCCAAGCATCCTAGGAGTGACTCCTGAGTGCAGAGCCAGGAGAAAGCCCTGAGCAACACTGGGTGTGCCCCCCCCAAAAAAAATTATGTGTGTGGATCTACCTCACACAAGGCCAGAGCCCTACCAACTGTCCTATCTCTCCAGCCCCCATAGGGATACAGCCTCAGATCCCTCAAAATAAGGCCTCCACAGCCACTCCTGCCATAGAGTACCAAATGCCCTGACTAGAGGGAATTATGCAGCGCTGATTGAAAGTCCTAAAAAATCTTACCATATATATGTAATATATATATGTATATAGTAAAAGTAAGTAAAGGCCCTCCCGTTGATCGTCGATTTGCTCGAGCGGGCCCAGTAACGTCTCCATTGGAGACTTTGTTGTTACTGTGTCTGGCATATCAGATACTCTCGGTAGCTTGCCAGGCTCAATAGCACAGCGGGTAGGGCGTTCGCCTTACAAGTGGCCAACATGGCCGACCCGAGTTCGATTCCTCCGCCCCTCTTGGAGAGCCCGGCAAGCTACCGAGAGTATTCGATATGCCAGACACAGTAACAATAAAGTCTCCAATGGAGATGTTACTGGGCCCGCTCGAGCATATATGTATATATATTATATATATATACATGGACTGGAGCAATAACACAGCAGGTAGAGCATTTGCCTTGCATGCAGCCAACATGGCTGACCCAAGTTCGATTCCTCTGCCCCTCTAGGAGAGCCCGGCAAGCTACAGAGAGTATCTCACCTTCACGGCAAAGCCTGGCAAGCTACCCATGGCGTATTCAATATGCCAAACAAAGTAGCAACATATCTCACAGTGTTACTGGGCCCGCTGGAGCAAAGTCTGGCAAGCTACGCATGACGTATTCGATATGCCAAACACAGTAACAAGTCTCATAATGTTACCGGACCCGCTCGAGCAAATTGAACAACGGGAGGACAGTAACAGTGACAGTGACATATATACATATAAAATCCTATAATCAGAGACTGAAGAATATGCTGTAAGGACCAAGCACATGCTTTGCATGAGGGAGTCCCAGATTCCATCCCCAGCATCCCATGGTCTCCTGGGTACCACCAGGTGTGGCTCAAAAACAAACCCTGACAGTGATGTCACCTTGGCGAAGCATCCACCTGTGGCTCTGGTGGCTGACCATCATCCTGGACTTCCCAAGGTCTGCTTCTGTTATGATCTGAGTCTCCCAGAGACGAGCTCCGGGCCAGAGCACCGGCCAATAACACAGGTGGCGGCTGTCAGATTTCGGGATGCCAAAACCCTGTCTCCCTGGCAACCCCTGACTCCCCAGTTATGAAGCTCCTCAAGGGTTCCACCATCATATTTTATTGTCTATTTTATTTTAAATAGGAGCCACATCCAGCAATATTGAGGGGAGGGCAAGGAGTTCCTGGGTGTGGAACTCGAGACTTTCAATGTGCAAGTTATCTCCTCTTTCCCTCCTGTTGTCTTCTGGCCCCTCCACTGGCTCTTTTTTTTTTTTTTTTTTTTGCTTCTTGTTCCCGGAGCGAACAGATGCCATTTGGGCTACACTAGCACGCGACAGGGACAAATGGAGACTTACTGGCGCCCGCTCGAGCAAATCGTCGACTAATGGGATGTTAAGTGATCAAGTGATTAAGTGATTTTGGGTCACACCCGGCGATGCACAGGAGTTACTCCTGGCTCATGCACTCAGGAATTACTCTTGGCAGTAGTCGGGGGACCATATGAGATGCTGGGAAGCAAACCTGGGTCGGTTGTGTGCAAGGCAAACGCCCTACCCGCTGTGCTATCACTCCAGCCCCTCCACCCTTCTCTTTATATCTATATATATAGATATATATATTTATTTATAAAGTAGTTCACAGTATTTTATTACATTTAATATCCAAACACCAATCCCACCACCATGACACCTTCCCACCACCGTATTTTAGATGTTTCCATCCCAAACCCCAATCCCTGCTCCAAAGCAGAACCAAAATTATATATTTTGTATTGTTTGTTTTCAAAAACCGCTGAAAATGCTACAAAACAGTATCCTTAGAGGACAGAGTGTAGAGATTGTTGTGTTTCACCCAGGGGCCATTAAGACCTTCTATAAGAGATCGATAACATGTTGTTAAAGATCGAGCTTTTAACATGTGCTTTATATGTGTTACATGTATATATACTGAAGTATATATATATGTATATGTATATATATATATATTTCCCTCTAAGATTGGTTGCCTCCTACTTTGAACCCTATCAAATGTGGTGTGGTAATCTTGGTCGACACTTTCTTGATGTCTGCAGCTGCCTCCCAATTTCTCTCCCACGTGTTGATGCTTCAAATTGCAAAGGCAATGCCTGATGTGGGCCCCCTCACCCTTGGTCCTCAAGTAGCTCCATTTGTCCCAGAATCTCCCAGCTCCATCACTATTCCTTGCATAAAACCCCACCCCCATCCCAAGAACAAGCCACAATTTGCAAGGGTGCTCCCACCGTCCCCGCAGAAAACTAAGTGAAATATCACCTTCCACCTCGGTATTCTGCAACCTTCTCCACCAGCTTTCTTCCTCCTGAGCCACTTCCAGACACCTCCTGTCCAACATCAGGTTCTACTTTCTACTGGAAACACGGAGTTACCTGTTCGAGTGACCTTCCCAGGATGAAGAACATTTCCTAGACCCCAGCCAGGGAATAGTGGGGATCAGAGAGTTGCCTCCGAAGCATCACCAGAAGCTGGGACAAAACCAGTCTTTCCATTCTCTGCTGCTCCTCTCTCGGGATCAAGATCTGAGGGTTAAATCAAGACACTCAAGCTTTCTCCACCTCCTGAAGAGCCTCTTCCCAGATTGGACTGGGGAGCTGAGGTTCCCCAGACAACTAGACAAGTCTGATCAAGAGACTTTTGACACATCAACCTCCAGGACGGCTGGTTCCCTGGGGCGACTTACTCAGGACTTACAAATGTGCAAAGGTGTCTAGCTCTTTTCCAAATACTTGCATGTGGATGTCATCATGCCCATTTCACAGATGTGAAAGTGAAGGTGACCAGGATGTACATCATGGTGATGGCAGGAGCGGAGTGCCTCTACAGTACAGACGCAGGAGCTGGGTTTGCAGGAAACCTGAAGGGGGAGCTAGCTATTGACTCCAGGCCAGAGCGGGAGGCCAACCTGCCCATGTCGCAGTCATGGGGACCACGTGCTG